CAAGGATGGAAGACGGACAAACTTTTCGAATGGCTCGTAGCAGACCACACTTTTTTATTTAAAGAATTTTTCTTACAGAAACTGAGAAGCAACAAATACTATCAACAGATGCCCAGCCACGTTAGATGCAGCCTGCGTGAGATTGTCTGAGATGATTTCTACAGTTTGGAATAAGGTTTGCTTCGTAGTAATCTGAAGATTATGCGTAGATTAGAAAACATAGGAAACTTGAATTGACGCATACATGAAAAATGCTTCCAGCTAAGGGCTGTCCAAGTTCCCTGCCTAGAACTGAGTTCGTCACCATGCACCTCACATCCGTGCATCCAGCCATGAGATCGGGACCTAAAGGTTTCCCAATCAATAAATTGATTGCAAGAAAATCCGCAAGGTTTCAATGACCCATACCTTGACCAGCGAAAATTTGATTTTGGCTTATAAGCACTGGATTGTTTGTCCGATACACCAAAACGACGTATTGTGAGCGATCTAGGGCAAAAAATTTGATGTCTCCAAGTTAATCGATAAGTCAATAATCTTGCTTACATGAGTCTTGTCTGATAACAGTAGTACTATTATCAACATAAGATGCTCGCCCGCTCAAACCTTGGAGAGTGTCCGGTATTGGTAATCGATTATAACCAACAGACGGCAGGTTATAAACAAGAAACATTGCAAACGGTTTTGAAGAAGGGTCTAAATCGATTTATAATCGATTTTTGCATAATCTAATAGTGGTATTAAGCAATCAATACCTATTATCGTCATTATGTGTAAGAAACCGTCTTGAAGTGGTGGCGACATAAATTCCACGCTCTGCACCGTAGCTGTGGTATAGTGCGGATAAGTCAGTAAGACCACCTGTAAACTCGTCCGCTTATGTGTGGCTATGAAACTCGTCCGCGACTGATATCGCTCACGTACCTCATCTCCAGTGTGTACGACGGGAAAGGCGGTGTTTGCATCAAGTCTGAGCATTTCGATCTGATAAGAATTTATAATTATGTCAACAGCTTAGTGAGAAAATTTGTAGCATTCTGTTGTAGCCTACTCCTTACCGAATTTAGCATGGCTAACGGCGATTGAGGAAATATGTTTGGTGTGAGCAAGTATTCAGCGAACCCTACAAATAAGGATACTAGAAAAATTGTTCGTCACTGCAAACTTTGTAATCCGCTTTTTCGATAATAGAAATATTTCGCTGTCTGCGACTCATTTTAGCACCTCGCAGAATTTTTACGTCAAAGGAATGACTCAGTAAAAAGC